CGAGTACTACAGTGCGGGAATTGGGGAGTTTGTTCTTGATGACTTGGACAATAGCCATGATGCCTCCACAGATCTGTTCAGGGGTATGGGCATACAACCTACAAAATCAGAAGATAAAGAAAAGTATGTATGAGCACATATCCTCCCTAATAGTTAGATAGATAGATTTAAGCACAAAAATAAAGCACAATGGGTCTACTGTGTGAATAAACAAGTACAATCATGTTCTCTATTTTTGGCAGGGATATAGACCTTTGGGCTGATGTTATCCAGCTCGCCGTTGCTCAGTCTCCACAGCACATGTTGTGTTGCATCACCACCCACCCCAAAATTGAGGGGCATGGAGAGGAGAGAACGGGGGGTTACGTATTGTAACCCTAGTTATAAAAGCACAGGCGCTGGACTCTATGGGTACTACTCTCAACCATGCTATGCGAGCATTCACACACTGAGTTTGTATAAACGTAGCCGGCCAATCAGGGTGAGCCTACCTGAATGCGCGCGCAGGCACACAGTATATAAGGCGGCCATGCCTCCTGATCCTGTCATCCTACACCCTCTTCATCGAGCGGCATAGGAAAGACAGGGCCCCTAGGTAGAGGGCTCCGCCTGTGCTTATATAACTAGGGTTACAATACGTAACTCCCCGTTATATCTCACACAGGCTCCGCCCTCTACTGGACTCTATGGGTACAGTGGGTGGAGCCCTGATGGATAAACGCCCTGTCGTCCAACAACATCGACCCATCACACTGCCCCTGACCGGCCTTTGGTTAACAGCCACCGCACCCCAACTTCCTCTCATCCGGTTGAGACCGTGGAGAAGTCGTGGCCGCAGCTTACTTGGCTGGGTATAGAGCACACTCACACACGCTTACCTCGTGTAGAGTGTGCATGGAAAATGGTGAGGAAGGCTCTCCCCGCACATCCATAACCTCGCACACCGTGAGTGTCCGGGGACCCGCACATAAGCATACCCCCTCGGACTAAACCCCTCCATCCACACCCGCAGAACATCATGCCCGTGGTAATACTGAAAGGGGGTGGATTTTGTGGTGCTTTGATGCCCGCCCCTCAGCATCCAAATTTGGCCTTCTTATTGGCACCACCACCCCTTCAGTGGAGGGTTTTATTATGCCCCTGGTAACCTTAATGCTGCCCGCCCCTCAGCATCCAGATTCGGCCTTCTTATTGGCACCACCACCCATTCTGTGGAGGATGTTCTCGTGCCCCTGGTCAGACTAAAAGGGGGTGGATTTTGTGGTGCTTTGATGTCCGCCCCTCAACCTCCAGCCTTTCTGGGCTACTAAACCCGCCAGAACCTTGTGCCCATGTGGTTCTTAAGTGGGGGGTCTCTCTTTGTTTTTGTTTATCCCACAGAGACAGGCTGTGGTTCAGCACCAAGGAGAGCGCCTCCCCGGTGCTGATGGAAAGTATGTCATCTCTCGGTCCTATATCCTCCAGGGTCCCCGGTAGTCAGAATCGGGTGGAACGCATCAAAATTAAAAAATATATATTCTAAAAAAAAAGGGGTCAACATTTTTAAAAGTGACCGAAAATAGTGAGGCCGCCAGAGACCCCTGTCCTCTCTCTGTCCTATCCTCCAGGGTCCCCGGTAGTCAGAACCGGGTGGAACGCATCAAAAGTTAAAAAACAAAATCAAAATGACCCCTCAAAAAAGAGGTAACAATTTAAAAAAGTGTCCGAAAATAGTGACTTGTGACTTAGTTCCCCCATGGAACTAAAGAGCAGATCGCGTTCACACCGGAATAAGTCCCTGAGGGAAGATTACGCAAATGAAGCAAGCCCCCAGGAAGTGCGCCGGAGTCTGATGAGAATATTCGTTGTGGCCAAACGGCGGTACTACACTTCCTTTAGGTTGCTGGGCCCGGAAACACTTTTTCCCATTGACTTACATGGGGAAAGACTGGTCTGTAACTCGTTGGATAATTTTTTTTAAACTAAATAAACAACCCAGTATGAACACTTGTATAGCCCTTATTAAAAACATTCGTTCCTCAAGTTGTAAACATTTGCTAATAACGTTATTCTGAGAGTTATTTCCCTCGGCATTATGAAAGCGCATCTAACCCACGGGACCGCGCCGCCCGGCACGTTCAAGTTACATGTTCAGCACTACATGGGTTTATCTTTACCCATGGATGCACAATAACAACGGACCATATCGCCTTACTGCCATCCCACGGAGCTGTAATAATGGATATATTGCACGTGTTTGCTGTAATTAATCATTTGTAAAATATGATACTACATGGGCTGTATGATTAAATCTTGTACCGTAAATGTTGTATTAAATAAAGTTAATATTACCGACGTAGATTAACGTCCCTGTAGCTTATCATTGCACTAAGAAGCTTATTGCACTGTATTATTTCATGCTAAATGAAGCTCTGTTGGATATCACTAGATCCTGTTACAGCGTAATATAAGTACATAACGATTGATGATACATTAGCATAATTACTAGCTAGCCGCTAGCTGCTAACTGCCGCCTCGTTAATATCAAATCCATCATAATAACAATCCATTACCATGCTGTCATGAACGCACGGTGCTGTTACGTGTACGCAAATTGACGTGCTTGATGTGAACGAGCATTTTGGTTAAAGTTGCGCATGCTCTATGAGTGCACATACGGGTACTTCTCACGCATGCCTGGTAATCTGTGACGTTTCACTCTCTCAAAAGTTGGACCATTTTATCATCATGCGCCAATGAGCAACTCTCATAGGAATGAATGAGGCCCCGCCTCCCACGCTGTATCCAGTTCTTATTATACAAATATAAAACACAGCCTGAGCTGTGCTCACTGCTGCTCTCTGATTGGTGTGTTGCTTGACCAATGACCCCCGACCTTTGTTTTGTTATCATTAGGTGGCTGTGTGTTTAGATGAAAGCCCGGTGGCGATCTGTTCATCTGTTTCACTGATTATACAGTAAAGCCATCGAAAATAATATGATATACAGTACAAGTAGCCTACTTCTGGGTCTCTGTGTTTCATTGAAGCTCGGCTCTGTGTGTGTGTGGCACGAGCGCATTTTGTGAGTACGCAAGCGGTAACGTGGAATGTTGATGTTAGCATCTGGTTAGCTAGCTATGCTAACGGATATAAAGAGCTGTTTCTACACCAAGGTGGAGGAGAGTCCTCTCCTGTCAGACTGAGAGGATCCAACCCAGTCTCATGGCATTTCATGTTCACCAACACGATTTTTAATCTATTGATTCGTGTTCACCAACACGATTTCCCCCTTTTTTTCGTGTTGCACAGCACGATTTTAAAAGCAATGCATTTCTACTGGTAATGACGCTCATGGAAGCACGGCATTCGTTTGTGTCGGCTGCCCTTAAAGGCAATGTGAGCGTCCATTCTCATTGGATAACGGAGAATTGTACACCCGGAAGTAAGTATTCCCCTTACTGTCGATTGATTTTACAGTGATATCTGCACTACTCATCTACTAAAAAACACCAGATTATCCTTGTTAATTACACAACATTGATTGGTTTAAATTGTGTGCAATGCTTTTGTATTTTTCCCCTTCGATTCGGAGAAACAAATGTTTTTTTCGGAGTAAAGGATAGCAGAAGACACTACACTACCCAGAATCCCCAGCTATCGTTTGGACTACACCATGTGCTCTGTTTGACAAACCCCGTGCGGCCCTGCACCCTGATGATGCCCGCCATGGCGGCTACTGGGGCCTTCATTCTTAATGGCTGCTGCCATGTCGCCTCCACACACTGCCAGATGTCTGGCAACGGAAGTGAGGCGAAGGCCGGCTGCGCCGGATGCACCGGGCCGTAAAACCCCTGTCTCAGGCGACTTACAGGCCTCGGTGGCGCTCTTCCGCCAGGGCCGAAACTGCTAATCAGACATGTTTTGACGCCCAGAAAACCACACCTTTCAGAACGACTGGAAGTAGACATTTTAGCTGGAAATCCAGGCCACAACCAAACCGAAACATGGAACAGGTAAGACCTTAACTTCACTTCCTTAATTTAGTTCATTTAACATATGGTCAACTGTTATCCCTTATTTTGTCATTTTAATTTATATTACTCTGGAATAAAATGCTTTCTGATTTGTATGTAAAGACCGCTGATTGATTGACAAGCCCTGTGGAGACTTCTGTCAGCATTTTTTTGCGCTCCTCAGTTCTGCATGGACTTTGAGCCCTCTGGAGGTACAGCCAGCAGTCATTTGTTCTCTCCACCCTCATGCTGGGGACAAAAGGCCTCACAGTCTGAGCCGTGGGAAGACAGCTTCAACAGAAACAGGAGCAATAAAGATTTTACTTTTCATTCCTTTGAAAACACCTTCAAAGACAACACCAGAGCAGAGAGGAGCAGCACCATCCGGCCTTTCTTCCCTTATCAAACTCAGCTGCCAGATCGACGTCCTGCTGAGCTAATGCATTTCCCAGACCCATTTGAATCTGACAGATATTCATTTGCTCCCTCCTTCCCCACCCAAACTCACCATCCTCAAGAGAGTTTCCATCCCTACAGCCAATTCAGTCATCCTTCTACTGGCCCTCCCCTCAGGTCCAACCACCACACTGACATGAAACATTACCCTCCATCTCACATGATAGACAAAGACCCAGCAGCCCCCCTCTCTTCTTTCCCGAGCCCTGAGCAGTGGACCTTCCCTCCAATGAGACTGTACTAATATAGAGTGAAGCTCTGCATAAAGACAAGCCTGTGAACATTTCTTTGACAAACTTAAAATGCTCTCAATTCAAACCATCAAGATTTTTTGTTGAGAGCGAAAAATATGTATTATTTTTAATTAAAGACACAGTATTAAATGTAATAGCAGTAGCTAACATCATAAGAGTTATCTCTTCTATTCTTTTGTCCTATTTATGCTGAGATAAACAAACGCACAATAATGTATTGTTTGCATTTTAGGAACATTTTGCAGAGTGCAGATGTGCAGAGCTGTATACATATCATCTTTAACACTGGTGTTATAACGGGAAGCTTTGCCAGATGTGCTATTGTGAAAACATTTTTTATATATTTTGTGTGGGCTGCAATAAAACACATTATCACAATTGTGTAATACAACGAAATAATCATTTTAATTAAAGCACAATAAATTAAATGACACCTCTGATTAATGCTTGTATGGATTAAAAGTTTACAGTACAATGGATCATACTTCACATTTCCACCATATTTCCATGTTCCTCTCCAAACAGCAGAACATTTTATCATTCATTGAACATACTGAAAGGTTTGTCTCAACAGTCACAAATGAAAATGTTCAAGTCTTTTCAAGTAAGCAAGTAATATTTTTCATCTGATGTGTGAGTGTCAACATTTCCAGGTTCCTCTTCTTCATGAACTTCATTGTTAATTTCCTCTGCTTCTTGTCTGCTCCCGGATCTTATTGCCCTTCTTAGCTGATTCCAAAACAGCGCTTGGGCCTGTGTCGGGTCAGTGCAGTCTGAGCTAGGCCACTGCAGATAAGTCTTTTTCAACATGACTTTCCTCATGCTGTGATAGCACGACACCTGCCTCTCTGAGATTTGCTCCAGACACACAAGCAGGAGGACGTCCCGGTGCTCATCGAAGAGGCGGTAGCTGGCCAGTTGGATTTCCAGAGAACACCACTCACTCTTGAGGAAATTCCTGCTCACCACACAGATAGTTTTGCGGCTGCTATATACAGCAGAGACAATGTTGTCCACAATATTGCGGCCAAGCTCAAAGTCCCTGTGATGTAGACAAAGTTTAAAAGACGATCCATTGCCCTCCAGGTTCGGAATTAACTGGTCCATGACCCATTGTTCATCAGAGGAGTTATAGGAAATAAATGCGTCATATTTGCAATTTTCCTCCTTCTCTCTGAGTCTGCGCCACTGCTCACCAAACCAAGAAATGAACACATAGTAGCCATACTTCATTTTCCAGTACAGTTTGACATAAAGTAAAGGAGCTACTGTGAACAGGAAGATCACAACTGCTGTGCTAAGGAAGAAGTACTCTTCCAAATCTATGTAACAAACTTTGGTGTCAAAGTTGTGGAATCTGCTTTTTTCTTGGTTTGGGCACGGAAGATTGTAGAGATAGACCACCTGGGTATTTTTGTTGTGCACTGTCCAGTTTTGCAGCAAGCTGTTTTCACAGGTGCAGCTTAGAGGAATATTCCGTATGTCGAGGTAGTGAAGTTTAGGTAAACTTTCTAGTGCGTCCAAACGAATACTCTGCATGACATTGCGGTTGAGCTGCAGTATGTGCAACTTTGTGAGATTCCCAAAAACCTCTTTTGTGAAGTTCGGAATACCCATATTTTCAACAGTCAATCGGGTCAAATTTCTTAGATTTTTAAAGATTCCTGGCTGTAGTTGTGTCACCCCAACACAGCAGTTATCTAATGTGAGGAAATGTAAGCCTGTCAGATCATCAAAGGCATCGGGAGGAAGATTGAAGATGTTATTGTTCGTTAGATACAGAGATTTCAGGGAGTGGAGGCCACGGAAAAAATGTTTGGGTAAAACTGTGAGGCCATGTGGTCGCTGCCCGTCCAGTTTCAGATCCTTCAGTTTGCTGAGGTTCATAAATGGTGAACTGTACGTTTCCTTGAGGAAACGAAACTGATTACTCTGTAAATCCAGAACAGTTAGCGTGTCTTGAAATACACGATAGAGGGAAGTGTCAATCGTTTGGAAGTTGTTTCCATCGAGATAGAATTTGGACAGACTTTGTAGTCCATCAAGGCCAGATGGCGTGATATGACTAATCTTATTTCCTCCTAGGTCCAGTGTGTTAAGATTCTTTAAACTGTGGAAGGTCCTATTAAAAATGACAGAGATACGATTGTTGCGTAGGTTGAGGATTTTCAGGTTGAAAGTATCTTCAAAGGTCTCACTGAACAAATCAGTTAAGAGGTTATTATCCAGACGGAGTGTCTCCAGCTTGTTTAACCCCATGAGAGCTTTACGATCGAGATAAGCTATTGTGTTTATGTTAAGCTGTAGTGTCGTGATATTTGGTGTTCGATAGAAAGCATAAGAGCCGACCGATAGGATGCGGTTATAGCGATAGCTCAGATCTGTTATATTGGTTAAATTACCCATTTGTGGTGGTTTACAAGATTTCAGGAAGGTGAGATGGTTGTGTTCTAAATTGACGCTCTTTAGCATTGTCTGTCTATCGAGAAAGTTAAGACAACTTATGTTTCTCAGTTTATTGTGGGAAAGATCCAAAGCCTGTGTGATGTTAGGACATTGGTTAAGAATGTTATTTGTCAGATTCACAATCTTGTTACTACCAAGGCTTACATTTTTTATCGATTCCCCATTTTTTTCCTTTAACAATATGCATAATAACTCCGTGTCATTTTCAAGGCCCATGTCAGAGAAATCAACGTGACCTGCATTGATATTGCTGATGTTTAAAAACTCCATGACCTTGACACTTGTGGAACGCAAACGCAGATAGCTTACACGCCTTAAATCCACTCCTTCAAAAGCCATCGTAGGCAGCCTCTGATTGTAAGACAAATCCAGCACCTTGATGTTCTCGAGAAAGGATTGATTACATCCTAATGTAGACAGATTATTTCTAGACAAATATAATGTAGTGAGGGATTTGGGTAGTGACACATTTGAGTGGCTGAGAGAGGTCAAATTGTTGAAGCAAATATCTATTTTTGTCAGATTTACTAAATGTGACACAGACTCAGCGACCTCTGAAAAGTTGTTCAGATGGTTTTGGCTCATGATTAAAGTTTCCAGTTTGAGAAGAGTGGAGAAAATGCCTCCGGGGAGTCGCTTTAATGTATTGTTTGTCAGCGAGAGAAAGGTTAGGTTGTGCAGGTCCTTAAACACAGCAGGGTTAAGCTCTGATATTTGGTTAAAGGACAAGTTCAGAGACGTGAGATGAAGCAGGTTCTTGAAAGCAAATTGACCGATGGTCGTTATGTTATTACGATCTAGTCGGAGTTGCTCAAGTTTTTGGAGATGACCAAAGCTGTTGTCGGGAATGACCCCCAGATGATTAATTGAGATGGTGAGATTGATAGTATATGACGGCAGGTCTTTTGTAATATTTGTAATCTTCGTCTCCTCCCGATTGACACATTTAAAGGTTCCTTTCCAGTAGGCGTCTTCAATGCAGTTGCTGTAGCTGTAACCACTGGCCATTTGAACTGCACCAAGAACAAATGCAACGGAAAACAGCCAATAAATTAGACTCGCCATTTTGCCAGTCCAGAGAAACGTTGTCCTTTAAATTATTTGGGCAGTCTCTTTGTTGGTTTGGTTTGTTCCTATAATATGTTGAACATGTCTGTAGAGCGCCTCATGTTCATCAACTGACGGTGGTACAGGAATCTGTGGAAAGAAATGATGGATTTGTATTACTTATCATGTTTACAGCCAATGTTTTTATCACGCGTTTTGCTTCCAAGCAGACCGCAGTCCTTAGATTGAAATGTTTATTTTCATTCTTTAACCATAAATTCAACTAGGCCACATTTTAAAACCAGAAGAAAGTCACATAGCAGTAACCCCTTTACGCTCACTAAATCTCCCTACTTCTCTGACTTTAAATGTCAGTGTTGACAGAGAAGCTTTGAAAAATTGTGAGAAAAATGTTAGAAAAAGATCATTGCGTTAGTGACAGTTTTGAGAAGACTTATGAAAGAATATAATAATGCTAACGTTTTTGTAAAGCGTTCTTCTAGAAATCAGAGAGAAACTACTGATCAAGGCATTGCATTGGATTTTATTTCACAAGCTTAAAACTACAACTGGTGCCACTGCCAACAGTTTCCCTGCATAAGCAGATGCTTAATGATAAATAAAAAAAATGCAACAAGAAGAAAAGACAAATGGAGACGGAGAGTGGCCTGAAGTTCAGTATGTGACTGCTGCTGAAGCAAGGCTCATGGAGTAAAGGACAGCTGCCGAGCGAAGGGAAATAAGTACAAGGAAATGCAACAACTGGAACAACAGCAATGCTGTAGGTGTGTCAAGGTATGAAGAGCACACACTCAGTGAAATGGGTCATTGTAATCACCATTTATTAAACCTCAGTGTTTATTTTCATAGTTAAGACAAGTTCCTCTACATTAAAAAAAAATAAAACTACAAGAAAACATGAGAAAAGGTGGTATGATAAAGAAATGAATACTAAAGAATAAATAACTATGTACTGTATATACAACGTACAGGATAATACAGATATGTGTGTAAATGTGTATGCAGACATTGGGTGAATGTCTGTGAACATGCAGAGTTAAGAGAGTATATGAGATTTATGCATCTATACAACCAACCTGTTCATGATTCCATATTTTATAGCAGATACAATTACAAACCAGAAATTGATTAAAAGAGTACACAGTTATTCATACTTATAAGTCTGCTCTCGAAGTGCACTACAGTCATGCAATTTAAAATGTATACATTTTCCTTTAGGGGCCTCTGGACTACAGTAGAGGGTCAAAGTCATGGTTAACATCCTGTGGGAAACACTGAGATCCCCTCCAGGAAGTCACTGTCTGACAAGCCACATCGCGTTGCATCACGAGACATCATGGAAACGCAGCTACCATACAGTATGTAGCAGCTTACTGTCACCTTAAACCCAACCATCACCACAACTAAATGTTTTGTACAACAGTGAAATCGCTTTAAAGAATAATTGGTGTTCAGTCGGCAAATAGCTAAAGAATAATTCTGAACTAAGAGTGAAAGGTTCAGTAAACCGAGAAGAAAATCAAAGATGCCAGACAACATATTCAGCAATACTAAAACCATCAAGATAAGCTTTTTGAAATATATGACACCATATTGAAGCGTGAGATAATCATAACTCCTACCTCGTAGCGTGCAGAGATGTAGACCAAAAGCAAAAGCATAGAAAAGTGCAAACAGAGAGCCTATAGCATCCTATGTATGCCTTGGATAAACAAGCATATTGAGTATATGTTTTTTAAAAGTACCTCACCTTTCTCGTTCACAGGCCTCCCAACACTAAAGAGCCAATAATAAGCCACAAGGTCGAAAACAGTCGTCACTGATCTGTTCAGATGTAGCAATGAAACTGTCTTGTCACGTTACACATTTTTAGAAGCAGGTTTTTCAAGATACACACGCCTCTGCACCCACTCACTGAAAGCCAGGGACGTGCACAGACACTTTGGTGGGCGGGTGCTCAAGTGAGAAAAAGGTCACTTCCCATAATCATTTATTTAAAAAAAATGTAAAACAAAAAGTTAAATATAGTTGCACATCTCTGACTTACTGACCAATTTATTTTAATACCCTCACACTCACGCAATTGTTTAATACTCAACAGAATTCTACAAAATAATCAGCTAACACAGAGACAATGGTCTTCTTTAGTATTCACTACGCACAAGAGCAGACAACAAACTAGTACAATTAATAGTTATTAAATGAGCAGCCAACAATCAAAATTATGAAGTTACTGTTTACCTGATTAAGGACATTACAGGCAAAAAGATCGTTTTTTCATGTACTTGTTATTTTGGTCTATTTTGCTTCCATGTTTTCTTTCACTCTAATGGAAATAAAACTTCCAAGAAACACATATCAATGGTGTTCGTTTTACTACCATGTCTGAATTGATCTATAGATTTAAAGCTAATCTGCATTTAAACATAACATTTCAGGGGGAAATACTGACTTGACGTAAGTAACTATCTGGGGAAGTTGTGAGGTGATGTGTTTTATCCTTTCCAACTGCAATGCCTTGGTAACTGCATGCAAATTAGCACATTTTAATTAGGCCTAGTTAACGCCTAATTTGCATATCAATGTGGCGATTGTGATGACGTTATTAGATACACATTTTACTGTATTCACCTGTAGTGTCTCCCCTTAAGTACAGTACATTAGCCTGTATGCCCATGATAAATTGCCTTAGCTAAACCTTGAGCTAACTTATCCATTAGCTAGTAGCCTACCTTAGTTAACTATATTTGTTATTGTCGTTTAGCTAATTAGCTGTAAACTCGAGGCACTGGCAGTTTAGTAATTTGTTCATCACCACTCACCCATACCTGCCAAGTGCCAACCCTACCGATTTGGGCGGTAGTCTACCGCTTTTGACATGTTTCTACCGCCTACCGACTTAGCTGATTTTGCCTACCGATTTTCAATCTTCCCAAACTATAACAAATAAAAATGACACTCCATAGACACTGGACTCGACTTTTGGCGGACACCGTTTGATCCCATCATACAAACAGTCCTCTGTGTTTCTGAAAGAGAAACAACGTGCAGACCGGGGGTAATGCTGCCTTTCCTCTGCACCCCCGGGGCTGATGGGTAATCACTCCCAAATGAGTGAGGGAACAGAGACGTTAATATCAGTGTCTCGAAAACACATGTTGGCGACTGAAAGACATCCAGTGTTTGGTCTTTTCCTGAAGCATCCTACAGTGTCTGAACTGAAAGAGGACCACAAACACACACAAAATATAATACAATTTTGAGATTTGGGGATATTTATCTCCCATTCTTTTACTTTTTCGGACTCCCGTGAGTTTCATGTATTTTCTTCACTCCGCTGGGAAACTGCTCTCATGTCAAGAAGCATCAGATCAGTGCATGCGCTACATCGTCCAATCAGTGAGCGATACACAGTAGGGGGGCGGAGCGAGTATCTGAGGATTTCATCGGAGGATGGTCTGGTGGTTCCTCGATTATCGCTCTTCCATTATCACTCCTCGCTCCTCCGGCAGAAATAAGCGCCATGGGACGGTACTCAAGATGGCGCAGACAAATCAACTTCCGGTGATACAGAGGACCGAGGATCGAGGAAATGAAAATAATCGACCTGAGATGCAGCCGTGGAGGGAGGGAGAGCTACAGAACTTCACAGTCTAATCTCCCGACCTGATATTTAAATGTTGTATTCAATCAATATATTGTTGGAAAGGGAAACTGTGCGCAAACAGCAGTAGATATTCATTTATAAAAAATAAAAAAGGGGTAAAAAAGGGCACTTTCTCTGGAGGAAGAAAAAGGGCAGGGGCTCAAGCCCACTTCGATGTCTATTGGCGCATTTCCACTACACGGCCTCGCTCGGTATGGCTAGGCCTCGTTAGGCCCGGCTCACTTTAATGCTGCGCTTCCATTACAGTTTAGGAACTGGGGTAGTTACTATAGTAACGCAGTGTAGGCGGAGCCGTGACGTCATCTTCAATGAGAACCCCAGAAAAACAACACAGCCGTTAGCTATTAGCACTCAAGCTCACAGCTCTTCATATCTGTTCAGAAACTAGACAAAAGTTAAACAAGTATAAACCACAGACTGCCTGTGTCATGGCGAATACAGTCGCTGGTTTATTTATGTCTGTAGGCCATTGTTGTGAGTGTGGACGGTCGGAGCATATACAACATTAGCTTAGCCGATCTCCATTTAGACAACACGCATTTTAAAAGGCTTTTCGCCTGCCGTCTGTCTGCAGACTTGTCAAAGCATTAATTCATGGTTTTTACTAACCGGTATCAGTATGTTGTTACTTCGGCATCATTTTGAAACGTGTATTACAATTGAATCACGGTCAAATATGTTCATCTTGTTGTAGTTGTAGCCCCCTTACAAGCGATTCTCTCTCTAGTTTAGCATACTCAGCCCGACTCAGCCTGGTTGTTGGCCCAGAAAGAACCTCGATTTTATGGTGCCAGAAAACTGTGGAATAGTACCCGCTAGCCGGTACTAGGCTAAGTGGAAACGCAACCAAAAACGGGCCCCGCACGGCTCGGCATGCTTAAAGCGAGCTCCGCGCTGTAGTGGAAATGTGCCAAAATGTGCACGTGCCTGCTGAAAGCAGCCTCTGCCAGACAGTAGCGTGGCGTGGGAAAAAAATTAGGGTCGGGGGTGTGGTGGTCAATGTAATAACGTAACCAGATGAGTGATTACAGCACCCGGTATCATTTTACACACATTTGTATCAGATGCAGGACTTACACACGCCTGTTATCTAACCGACAGGTCCGCACGCACTCTCCAGCCGAAACTCTAATAAGCATTCATTCACAAACTAAATCAGGAGACCTTTAACGTTTTACGTCCGATTCGCTCCTTTGTTCCTCGCTGTACACAGCTCCAGTTTGGGCATTGGCCTGTCATCAGATTGTATTTGTTGTTGCTGCTGTAGCGGAAGTTTAGTACAATTATTTTTGATGAAATACTCCAAATCTCCACCCTCCATAATTGCACTTGCTTCAGTTGCTTGCTACTTTCTAACGGCGGTGAGAGTGGTGCAGTGGCGCTATCTATCGATTAGATTTATGATTCGAAAATGATAAAAGTAGGGTAGACATGTGGATATTATCCGACTGAACAAAACTTGCATTTATCTAACAGGTTCGTTTTCCACTGACCTTATTTCGAGCTATTTTCCTAAATCCTATGGAGAAATCCCATTGCGTTTTTTGTCGAGGGAAGCCGAGCGCAGCTTACTTCCGGATTTTAGGATGCGTCACTGCAACACTAAATTGATGCGATTTGATTGGATTGTGAGGCAAGGGAAGCCAGCCGCCTCTGGCTTCCCTTGGCATGGCTCTGACTAATCACAGGTTGGCAGGGGCATCACGTGAGCCTCATCTGATTGGTCAATCCCTCCATTTATTTTCACCAAGGGAAGCCAGATTCGGCTGGCCTCCTCTCGCAACAGTGAGTGCAATCTACGGTTTCACCATAACATGTAGAGGGGCGCTGTTTGTTTCACTCTTTGTAAAATACTCAATGAGAATGGGGGAGAGACGGGCCGGCAGCAACACACAGCAAAGGAGAATTATCGAAACAAAACAAAGTGTTTTTATTTATTTATTTAAATTATAACTAGCCTGCAATCCGAAAAAACAGGGGAAGCCTGGCTTCCCTTGGCCTCCGGGAGAAAACGCCACTGCTGCCAGATCACATACCACAGGCTATTGTGAATCTGATAATCGTACAGGGTTTGAAATATGGGAGTTTACCCACATCACCTCTAGTCGGCACTTTCTCCAAAGCAATGGTCTTGCTGAGAAATCTGCGGTTATTGTGAAATTGGTTACGGTAAAAATCGAAAGTTGATAAGAGAGATCCCTATCTTGAGTTTTGTAAGTATTGTTTCACTATTTGACAGCTGTAGATCACCGGCCCTGATGCTTAAAGGCCACTACACACCAACCTGAGACCAAAGAAGGCGTACCGAAGGCGTCCCGACTTTTACGTCTGCTACGTCGCCTGCGTCCGCTACGCCGCCCGCCTACGCCGCCCGCCTATGAACACACCGCAAAGACTTCAGTCGACGAGTGGCAATAACTGTCCTTACCAGCAGGCAGCGGTAGTGTGTTCGTCATTCAAAAGAGGCAACAGCCAATCAGAGTGATTTCTTTGGCCGACTTTCTTTGGCCGATTCAACGGGAGGTGTGAAAATGTGCCGTAAAGCAACAACGGTGCGGGACACACCAACCTGAGTAGGGCGCCACGAATGCCCGACTGCCTCTGACGGCCTCTGACTCCCAAAATCGGGTAGATGTGTCAGGGCCTTAAGAGCCATCGCTTACACTCGATCCCTCCCAGCACCCCCCAGCAGCTCCATACGACATTGGGAGCGTCAGAGTTGCTAATGCCAGGACAAGCAACCAATAACACAGGGTTGCCAACTCTCACGCATCTGGCGTGACACAGGCTTTCACTCTCAATCTCACGCTGCCCAAACTATTCTCACGCCAAAAACAAGAATACCGAAGACAAAAAACGGTTTTGAAAACTTTTGTCACGTAGTGATCGTCTTCTCAATAGAGCATCTTTGATAATGTGTTCTGGCCAATCAGAATCAAGATAACGGCGTGGTGTTGTTGCAGGAAGTCCCGACGGAGAATACTTCTGCTGTAGTACATCTCTATATACATCGATACAACATTACGTGTTGATAGAAATCAACACGTAATGAAATAAGACCCCACGGTTTGATGATTGATAGGTGTGTGGGCTGTCTTTCATTTTGACACACAGAACAATGGGGGCTATCCACCCTTATCCACAATGTAAAGTAATTCACAGCCTCTTCTCTCTGTGAGGAGCAGCAGGTTCAGCTTTCAGAACAAAGTAACTAAAAACTAAAATGGCATTCCTTTTTTAAATATGTCGTGTAGTAATACATTTATTCATTTCTCTTCTCAAGAGAGTACCAGAATGTGTATTTTATGTTAGTATTTCAAAAGATCTCCTGGGGGAGAATCCCCCCAGACCCCCCTGCAGGGGTTGGGTTTTCAGCAGGTCAACTCTTTCACCTGTGGGGAAATTGCAGGATTGGCTCCAGGTCGCCCTTTTTATTTACTACAAGACAAATGTGCCTTTTTATTTCATACAGTTCAATTTGGATTGAGACAGGGAAATAATCTAAACCTCACGCGTGGCGTTTCACTGTCAAGGGGAGCGTGTATGTAATTACATTGCAAATACTGACTTGAGCCCCACCATAGATTACTCAACAAAAATACTCCGTATTGCGCATGCGCAGATCTAAGATCCAGTCGAAATGATAAAAAAGTAAAAGTCTGCTGCTTATTGTTCTACTAGGCCAACATACAGTAGAGTCAAAGAGTATGAGAGTGAGAGTGTGTTAATTAATATGTTTGGCAGTTTGGAGTAAGTCTGTAGATTTCTTTGTGTGTGTGTGTTTCATGTATAGGCCTCTCACGATAATTAATTTTGTTGGATACATTTTCCCGGAAATTATTGCGATAAACGATAATATTGTCGGCACCGTTGTATGACCATTTTAGACCACTGACATAATGATAATATATAATAATAATTCAAGTACATCCTTTCAAACTGCTAGTCACATCCTCATGTAAATGGCAATTTATCGAGTTCATTTATCGTACGATAAGTCAATTTGCTTATCGCGACAGGCACACAATAAAACAGTGGAAACAAACATGTGTTTGACTTTCATTAGTGAATGAAACTGTGTGTCCTTTATAGTCTGTGTCCAATATTGTGTATTTGTATATATTGTATATATATCCTATTATATATGCTAAGGTCCCGCTGCTGACACGATAGCAGTCATTTCGTGTGCATATGTGTAATTAAACCCATGATATCAAAATCTCACTCCAGCCAGGCACCCAAAGTTGGCAACCCTGCAATAACAGCATCAGAAAACCGGTCTATCAAGAACACCCAGCCAGCCCATAGCTCACAGATCACTATACACACAGCTAAAGGGCACTGACTTCCCCTTCTTGACAAAAGAGAAATACGCAAGGCTCACACTGAAGAAAGCTCTGATCACACATTTGCTCATAATGAGCCTCACAAGAACAAGTGAAATGATGCAATTGAACTCTGCCCTTATACACATAAAAACAGAAGGAATTAAACCTGTGTTGTGTAATGATAAGATAAGGTTGGATGTTCTTTTATTAGTTCCACTGCCAGGAAATGTTCAGTTTTACAACAGCTACATTTTACAACCATTTAATAACAATTCAAAATATATTAGATAGACTAAAATTATATTCAAATGATATATGAATATATTGTACAAGATTATATGAATGAATTGTTTTGGTAAGTGTATTGGTATTGTTGGTATGAATTATGAGTGTCTATGTTATTGATGAATTACATTAATGCATTTTAATACAGTATTTTGTGTGTATGTTCCACCAGATTCCCATACGATTATCTTCTCACATCCTCCAATAATTCCCATCGGAGGTTTTATAATATTCCTGGATGTTTAATCTTTTTAAACTAAAACTTGGTTCCTCTTTATTTCTGTTCTCTTTCTCCTGGCATTTCTTTTGTCTTTGTTACATTCCACTCTTAATACGATGACAATCGTGCCATCAAATGGTGCAAAATCATTTGTCTTTTTGCTACATAAATGTGCTAAATACGATTAAAATGACATTTACAGTAGTGACAATCCTTGTGTGAGTAACGTCAGAATATAATCCTGTGGGAGATCTGTTGTTATCACCAGTATTTACCCAACCGTTGTCTGATCAGAAAGACACTTGCCAGGAGTTTTAAATTACTTTACTAAAGATCATAGCTATAACAATAATTAAAAGTATTTCAATAGTTTGACCATGAAAGCCTCACCTGTTTAGATGTCCTCTTCAGAGAGCTTCTTGTGTCGAAGATATCCTAAACTCTCACTGAACCAGAAAGAGGAACCCTTTCTTTTCTTTCCACATGCAGACACAACATGAAAGTCCTAGGAGGTTTTTATTGAAATACTGTTGCTTGAATTAATGTACACATGCATATAAAACGACTTTTATATCCCATTAGAATAACACAATATTGAACATTGTATGAGAGAAAAGCAGTATTTAGATCATTTCAAGTATCATTTAATTCCAAAATAAATAATGTGTGTAAATTCACAAATGTAAACTAATTTACAGTAAAGGAAAAGTCATTGTTCTTTATTTCCGTGGCAGTGTATTCCCTTGTGTGTCGCATGAAGAAAATGTCACTATGGTATGTCATTATATTTCAGTGTTCAGTGCAAAAGGCCTGGGGAGGCCTGATGAATAATGAGTTATCTTTTCTTATTTCTTTCATCCATGTGATTTATTTAGCCTGGTCCATAATATTAATAATAATAATAATTCCTTACATTTATTATAGTGCTTTTCCAGATGCTCAAAGCGCTTTACAAATACACATTACACTTTCTTTTTTTTCCATGTCTTTGAATCAGCACCCATGTTTCTAATTTTTAAACATATATATATATATTAGGGGTGTAACGGTTCACAGAAGTCACGGTTCGGTTCGTACCTCGGTTTGGAGGTCACGGTTCGGTACAGCAAGAAAAAGCAAAAAAAAGTCCCAAATGCATAATTCCAGGTTTGTTGTTATTTATGTTTGAACAGTAGTGTAAGTTTCAGTTTAAAAATAAAGAACTCTTTTTTGAATAATGAACTGTATTAAACAGTTAAAAACAAACCATACACAGTACACTCAGATGGCCATATTATCTATAATGGCTGATGTCAAACAAAAAGGTTTCATCAAGCTGTAAAGCTAAAAAGAATGTCTTGAAAATATGACATCATAAATAATAAGAAAGTGTTTCAAGAGCGCAAAGTCGTTGAAAAACATATGCCAAAAGCTTCCGTTATTTATTTTGGTCTCACGGCTCTCATGTCTATTGGTTTATAAAAACAGCGGGGATCAGCTGTTGAACTGCTGCTGTCTTTTGCCGGGCTCCGGTGATTGGCAAATCTGGGTGATGCCTTCTGATATGATGTAGCATGTTGGCGTGTGTTACCATTAGCATACCGCACCGCTGTAGAACAACGCCGACACACCGTCCTCGTCAGATCCACCACTCGCGCACTCCATCGTTATTGTAGTCCACAGGGAACCCGACATGTTCCCACACAGCTAATTTAAAAGAAGCAGGTGGGTTCTAGCTCCTGTGTGTTACCTGAAATCGCCATACTAACTTTTCTTCTTCTTGTATTTTGTTCGTTTTGTTGTTGTGTTTCTTCTTGTTCTTCATTTGTTGTTTAAGGGCGGCTGGCAAACAGCTTTTAGGCGCAATATCGCCCCCTGGATTATATATAGTGTAGTGGATACTGCCCTGAATGACAGACTTTTTTCCCACTCTTAAAAAAAAGGCGTATTCGTCGTGTGACTGCGTGTGCCGAACCGTGACGCCCGAACCGTGACGGTACGGGACGAATACGGATACCGTTACACCCCTAATATATATATATATATATATATATTCCATTGATATTAAAGAATAAGGAATTAACAAGACAACAATTCACTCTTATTATCAGGCAATTATTCTGAACTTTTAAACCTTTTCTAGGTATTTAGGAAATGTCAATACATTTAAAAGTTGATTTATTTGACATGTTGTCCAAACCAATGTCATTTTCCATATATTCCACTTCTTTGCAATAAAAAAAATTAGGTTTAATGTAAAAAATATATCTATCCTCTCCTCTTCTGCTCTCGAGCCATCTGACACAGTCCACACAGCGGCAGGCAGCCCATGATTAACCAGTCGTCACACACTGAGCCCTGGGAAGAAACAAAAGGACAGTAAACTTCAGACAAACATAAATGTTCTCATTAAAAAAATAAAAGATTGATTCAGGTCAGCGATATCTTTTCAACTGACCAGATTTCACAGTTACAGCATAATCTCTGCAGTACTGTTGTTTTTTTAGGTTTAAAGGTCCCCTATACTGTTTTTCCTCAATATATTATAGGTCTCAGATATATACAAAACATGTCTCTGAAGTGTTTGGCTCCAAACACCAAACAGATCCTTGCAGCATTACCCATAATCCCCTCTGTTTCAGCCCTGTTTCCAAAGTGCTGATTCTCTGTCTGTTACTTTAGATGAAAATAAGGAGCCCCTCCCCACGCCCCTCTGAGAGAGATTTGGTTACAAAGAACACAATGGTGCTCTAGGAGGAGATTCAGGTGATCAGGTGATCAGGTGGGGGTTACCTTGGTTGGTGATTGGCTAATGGTTACACAAGCTAAAAAAACGTTATGACATCATAAAGTGGCCAAAATCTGATCAGCTCGTTTTCAGACAGGTTTTTATAGAAATGGATCAGGACAAAAAGAGAGAGAATCTTTTTTCCTGAAACTTTCAGAATCTCTTTCCACAGAGGGGACACATGTTGATGTAGAAAAGACATGAAGAAGAGGGGACACATGTTGATGTAGAAGAGACATGAAGAAGAGGGGACACATGTTGATGTAGAAGAGACATGAAGAAGAGGGGACACATGTTGATGTAGAAGAGACATGAAGAAGAGGGGACACATGTTGATGTAGAAGAGACATGAAGAAGAGGGGACACATGTTGATGAAGAAGAGACATGAAGAAGAGGGGACACATGTTGATGTAGAAGAGACATGAAGAAGAGGGGACACATGTTGATGTGGATGAGACATGAAGAAGAGGGGACACATGTTGATGTAGAAGAGACATGAAGAAGAGGGGACACATGTTGATGTAGAAGAGACATGAAGAAGAGGGGACACATGTTGATGTAGAAGAGACATGAAGAAGAGGGGACACATGTTGATGTAGAAGAGACATAAAGAAGAGGGGACACATGTTGATGTAGAAGAGACATGAAGAAGAGGGGACACATGTTGATGTAGAAGAGACATGAAGAAGAGGGGACACATGTTGATGTAGAAGAGGCATGAAGAAGAGGGGACACATGTTGATGTAGAAGAGACATGAAGAAGAGGGGACACATGGTGATGTAGAAGAGACATGAAGAAGAGGGGACACATGGTGATGTAGAAGATACATAAAGAAGAGGGGACACATGTTGATGTAGAAGAGACATGAAGAAGAGGGGACACATGTTGATGTAGAAGAGACATAAAGAAGAGGGGACACATGTTGATGTAGAAGAGACATGAAGAAGAGGGGACACATGTTGATGTAGAAGAGACATGAAGAAGAGGGGACACATGTTGATGTAGAAGAGACATGAAGAAGAGGGGACACATGTTGATGTAGAAGAGACATGAAAGTGGATTTTGCATAATAGGTGAACTTTAATGTGTGCTCAGACAAAACTGAAAGCTCTTACCTCGATATGGTATTTGTCTCGCATGCTGGTCCTCAGAGCGATCATGGCCCCTGGGAGGAAGGGCAGGCAGCAGCTCTCCCCGTGGTCCTGAGCCACCTGGCAGCCCAGGATACACGGTAAGAACGTGGCACACAGACCTGGAGGTGAGAGACGTGTCATCAATTTGCTATTTATGTTACAGTGTTGGTAATTTCTTCTTGCTTCTACACACACACAGGTAGACACTTACAGATGCCAAAGTCTTCACAGCAGTCGCACACGTTTGAACTCCAGTCTACGGACCCGGACGTCACCGTGTACTGAGTGACGGTGACCTGAGGCTGCGAGTTGATCACATTGGACTGGAACGCCATTGCTGTACGTAGAGAACTATTAGATTTAAAAACAGATTATATTGTTCTAGAATACAGTATCATAACAAAACAAAACAAATGTTGTAGCCATATCAAATATATTGCTCCATGTCCAGTCCTGTGCCATCAAAGCTTCTTCATTCCAAGCAGAGACAATTGAAGCCCATCTCACTAATATTGCCAAAGAAGGAGGAATTTACTCAGCAGAATAAGTTACTGAAATTCATTTGAATAAAAATCCTGCCGACTCTTCCATGTAGCAGGAATGGAAAACCTTGTGTTTTGAGAAACACAGCTTGAGATCTCAGCTCACCTCCTGTGGTTGGTAGATTGCTCCTGTAAAGGTGGTCTCACAGTGGGTCACGGGATAAATCCAGTAACAGGAGGGCAGACGCCTGCCTGCGTCTCTTATACCCAGTGTGACGTCACGCTTACACCGGAGCCCAGTTTCAGTGCTGATATAAAATGGCCATTTGGCCGCTGCACACCTTGTTTTCACAACAGTGTTTGACATTGGGGTGTTTCACCTTTCAAAAGGGAGCCATGACCATGACGTGGTCTTTATCAGCGTGCAGTGATTGAAGAACAAAGAAGGCATATCAAGCATATTTGACTAGGTTCAACCTTTTAGTGCAGGTGTGGTGTGTGTACACACTGGGCTGAAGTGTGGATCGGAAAATAATACAAACGAGCTCAAACACCGGCCTTAAAAGAAGTGTTTGTACTCCTGTGCTTCAATTCATCTTTTAGCTCTGCTACATGTCTAACTTTGTATTGCATGTGGGTCTATAGAACTACACAAAAGGCTATCACTGTTATACATCCCCTATTTTAACTGTTTGTATAAGTATCCAATTTAAATTCATTTCAGAATAATAATTCAGTCTGTATGGAGTTACAACTTCCTAAGACAAAAGCAAAATGGAAGAAAAGTGTTTATAAAGAATAATAAAACATAACTTAAATTGAAAAAACAATACACCTGTGCTGGTCACGTTCATCCTTTCAGTTACCTGGTCCTTTAAACATTTATGAACATATCCGCTAAAAACACACTGTCCTCTTTAACGGCACAAAACACTTCTTTATATTGTTTTATCAATTGATACTTTGTGAGAAAAAAATGTACCCGTTGAATGTAGTAATTTTCTTCCATATTGGCCTTGCATTTGGCAACATATTTTTGCTATGGCGTGTTCTGCCTTCTCATAAAAACGACATCGCAGCAGTTAGTCTCTTATCCTCCCGAGAGAACAATCCTATTTTTCTATTCATACCCTGATCCTTACCCACAATGTACCATCTAACATGAATAATGTGGTCAATTTACGCTGACCTTTGCAACATAATAAAAAAGTCTTACCTGTGAAAGATTTAAATTGTAGAGTATAACTTCATTACAGGATGGCAGCTTCTGCTATGTGAACTTATACCGTACTAAGTTACTTTTTGATGAATGTAAACATAACATTCAGACCTACAGTCTATGATTCAGACACGTAATTTATCTAAACAGCTAGCGCCAGATTCCATAACTATTTGTAGTAGTTATTATTCATATTACTTATATATCTTACTCTAACAGCAGTATCTTTATTCCTTGCCAGTTGTTGCCACCATGAGCTTTTGAGAAATGGTAGTTTCACAAGCCTCACCTCTGTGGCTTCCCTCAAATGAAGTAACTTTCCCTTTTATAAACCAAGGCAAGCAAACACTCCTCTACAACATAAATCATTTAAAACATACTGACACTTATTTCCCCCTTTTCTGATATGATTTCACCAACTACTATTTACGTTTATCAAATGAGCAAAACAGCGCTTTGGGTGTTGTGTGTGGTCAAAGCTGGTATTGCACACTCAATATCAAAATATGCCGAGGAGAGAGGTTTAATGTGCTTTCATTCTCACGCTCCCTTTTTATTCTCATTCGACTGCAAAATAGGCCAAAAACAACAACCCTCAAATGCATTGATTTCATAAATCAGAAAATCACAAATACCCTCACTGTAAATCAGTCATTAGTGGGGAGACAAAATAATATATAGTACTTCCCTCCTAAATAAATCTGTGTTAGATTATTATAGAGTTTTACAGTTTAGTTACAGTAGGTTTATAGACTTATTTGGAGTATAACTCACCCAAATAAGTGAGGATAATGTGCATGTATCTGTCTGTAAATGACTGGAACAGCAGCTCTGCAGAAAGAAAAGGTCCCCACCCTTTACAAACAAAGAGGATATATTTTGAATGCATAACAACATAATGAAACATTAATTTGCTTGGTTTTTCCTTATTGTTTGTTTAGACTCCGAACCATAAAGAAGTAAAGCCAACGCACACAAATCACAAGGTTTAACCAGAAGCTACATTTAACCCTTTGGTTTTGTAATATGATATCTGTTATGTCATCATGTATCATTTATAAGAAAGCTTGATGATTATGAGTTGGTAAAAGCAACTACAGACAGTCATTACTCAAAGGTTGTTTTCTTTTTAAGGAACTGTAAGATTTCTTTCATTTTTAACCCTTTAATTACTGAACAGCTCAAGTTTCCACATTAAGTAGGTTATGGAGGTGTGGCCTTAAATCACACTGTAGTTGTTATAGGACATATTAACTATTGTAAACTATGCTCAGATTATAGAAGCAGCTGCCAGGGCAAGACATAACAGATAAAATACACATGAATGTGATCAACACCCTATCCTCACTATGGCATCTGATGAGAAAGTAAATATCCCACGAACGTAACTGAAAGTCCTGATTAAGTTACACACTCTTTATTGCCTAAAAAGAAACGAGAACTTGCAGCACAGAAATCCAAACTAGGCTAAGTCATTGGAAACAGGGTGATTTCACAGTGTGTCCACCAGAGAGCACTAACTAGGGGATAGTTACACAGCTTGATATTTATCTTGGACATGTTGTTGTTGTTGTTGTAGTATTACTAGTTTAAGTTATACTAACAAATGTAAATCTGGGGGATCTGTATCTAGAATATAAGATTATGAAATACATGTTAGAAATTACTTTAAGTAGTTTGCATGGGTTGAGCTGTGGAAGTGGATCAAGTTACTTTTGAAGTTTGTACTATAGGTCTATATAAAGATCTTTATTTGTCGTTGTGCTCAGAACAAAAAGTAAAAAGTAAGTAAAAACTTTTAGCAGCAGAAAAAGCCAAAGAAAAGACATAAAAGGAATCAAATTGGGCTGACATAGGAAGGGAAGCCAAATCTGACTGGCATGTTAAATATTTTATTTTCTGACTGAGGCACCCCACAAAAAACGGACAGGATTGTCTTTTTGTTTGTTTGTGGATTGGTAGGCACTCAAAATACACAAATGAACTGTAGGAGCACAAGCACTGACAAAGTGAGCTTTTCATAACATGTACAAAAAACAGTCCTTTGCCAAGAGAAGAGTCTAGATGTGTGTAGATGAATAAATGACTAAACTGTTGTTCATTGTATTGGATTTATTAACTTCAATATATCAGGCTAAAAGTGTAACCTCTGAAAATGTGTACACAGTGTCTTCAAAAGTAGAACTCAATACAGGCTTGTTTTTGACCACAAACAAACAAACAAACAAGCACACAGACTGAGCTCAGAAGCACTTTAAAGCTGGTTGAAGGTAAAGGGCAGCCATGAGTCAGAAAGCCCCTTTAGTCTTACTTCCACAAACTAAACCAGAGACAGACAGAATGGACAAATGAACAAAACCCCCCGTCAGTATCATTTGATGATATCTTTTCAATAACATGTAAAATGTGAGAGGAACCGAACACTCTTGCGGTTACATCTGTCTGTACTGAGGGTCTGTTGGTGTTTCGCAACCTGGCTGATGATTCTGCTTTCTTTTATCCACTTGTTTGTGTGATAAACAGTGCAGGGCACACAACAGGAGCATATATAAGGTTAAATACTGAATAGAACATGTCTGTATGTAATGTGATCCGTGTGTGCATAATAACACACCTAAATGCCTAACTGTTTAAATCTGGGACACTAAAGGCCTCTGGGTTGTATCAGACCATGATGTGGCTTGAGGGGGAACAAGCCTGTATTGAGTTCCACTTTTGAAGACAGTGTGTACACATTTTCAGAGGTTACACTTTTTTTTTAAGCCTGATATATTGAAGTTAATAAATCCAATACAATGAACAACAGTTTAGTCCTTTCTTCATCTATACACATCTAGACTCTTCTCTTGGCAAAGGACTGTTTTTTGTACATGTTATGAAAAGCTCACGTTGTCAGTGCTTGTGCTCCTACAGTTCATTTGTGTATTTTGAGTGCCTACCAATCCACAAACAAACAAAAAGACAATCCTGCCATCCTCTCAAGGTTGTGTCTTCCTGGTCGAATGTACTTATTGTAAGTCGCTTTGGATAAAAGCGTCAGCTAAATGCAATGTAATGTAATGTAATGTAACAATCCTGTCCGCCTAATTTGATTCATTGTATGTCTACCACTTAAAGTAATTCCTAAAAGACAAAAATGTATTTCATAATCTTATATTCTAGATACAGATCCCCCAGATTTACATTTGTTAGTATAACTTAAACTAGTAATACTACAACAACAACAACATGTCCAAGATAAATATCAAGCTGTGTAACTATCCCCTAGTTAGTGCTCTCTGGTGGACACACTGTGAAATCACCCTGTTTCCAATGACTGTTAGCCTAGTTTGGATTTCTGTGCTGCAAGTTCTCGTTTCTTTTTAGGCAATAAAGAGTGTGTAACTTAATCAGGACTTTCAGTTACGTTCGTGGGATATTTACTTTCTCATCAGATGCCATAGTGAGGGTAGGGTGTTGATCACATTCATGTGTATTTATCTGTTATGTCTTGCCCTGGCAGCTGCTTCTATAATCTGAGCATAGTTTACAATAGTTCATATGTCCTATAACAACTACAGTGTGATTTAAGGCCACACCTCCATAACCTACTTAAGGTGGAAACTTGAGCTGTTCAGTAATTAAAGGGTTAACAAGGAAAGAAATCTTACAGTTCCTTAAAAAGCTCCAAAATGTCAGATGCAAGAAGTTACAATCCTGCCGTCCTCTCTAGTGTCATGATGAGGTTCAGGTAAAGCATGGTTAATGTATTATTATTGAGGGAGAATTGTCCGGGGCTACAGAAAAAACCTTTGGGGCTAAAGCCCTGAATGCCCAGGCCAGGCGACCTTTAAAACAAATCTTCCCGGGGGAGCATGCCCCCGGGAAGACCCTGCTTACACCTACATGTATATGCCGTGAGCTGATTATCGAGCCTTCATTGGAACAGTTACGGGTACACTGTGTATGTGCGTGTGGGGAGTGTTGCAGTAGAAAATTCCACTAGCGACCGGTACCTTAATGGGAAACCCTACATGTTGGAGCACCCTCTATGAAACGTCAAGCTACC